GCCGATGTTGGTTGCAATAGTCAGCGAACAGATCCACTGAAACCATACCTCGAACAGGCACCTTCCAGATTCTTCTAAATGTGAAAAGACATTTGTACCCTCGTGTGTTTTTCCTGTTTTACCCCTATACATTTATTCCCTTTTTTACCATTCTCCTACTGCACACATGTAGAGGTTTTGCGATGATGCCCTCCCCTTGAATAACGACCTTGTGCTCAAGGTTAAGGTTAATATCCTTAACAATACATAATTATCACAGTTACAAAAATATGCCATAATACATGAACTCGACCTTGAGTTTTGAAATAAAAAAGGAGCAAGAAGGTGAAAGCTTGAACATATCTTCTAAAGAATTGAATCTGAAAACCTTGAGATCATCATGAGGAAAAAATAATATTTTGAAAATAAAAAGTATAAATGTATATTAATAGGGTACCAATGGGGGTACTACCCATTTTCAAAAGGTTTACAAGCTTGTTAGTGTATCAATGACATCCCCAAAATTCTCAGCCTTTATAATGTCATGACCTAAGTGACCCAAAATAATTAAATCATATTTCTCTTAATTTACTTTTATCATTCACAACCCCCTCAAAAGCTCTCAATTTTTTTTTCTTTCCAAATAACCCAAAAAATGGACAGAGGAATAATTTTTGCTATATCTGTTTTCAAACCAACACCACCACAAGCCCGAACCTCATCCACAATTGAACCCGCAGCAACTCAGCAAATGCCTAGTAACCCGTAAATCATGCACCATAGCTCATATGCGGCAGGACACCTGGAAGAAGATGACGGCAGTTTTCCTCCTTCCCCAAGCACATGAAACATCCATTCACCAGAGGTAATCCGCTAGCCTTAAGTTTATCCAAAGTCAGAATGCTCTCTCGACATGCCTCCCAAGCGAAGAAGGCCATCCTAGGTGGCGCTTTTGTTTTCCAAATCAGGTTAGTAAGAAATTTGGGGGTAGTATCCAGTGCAATTCCCATCAGTTTGCTACAGTAAGAGTTCACAGAGAACTCTTCATTCTTGCTCCACCTCTACGGCACTTGATCTGGATCACTTTTAATCTGAAAATCTGTATCTTGCACATCAGCTCTTCGTAATCCTCGACTTCCCAGTCATTCAAATTTCTTGATACATTTACAGACCAAGTACATCTGCCATTCTCCCTCACATAGGCCTCCTCCACCAGCATATCTTTGAATTGTGCAATAGCATAAATTCTTGGGTAACAAGATTTGAGACATCCCCCCTCCAACCATTGATCATGCCAAAATCTAGTGGCGTTTCCTTTGCCCACTTTCCAATCCAAACACTCCTTAAAACATGGCCAACCCATCTTAATGTTCTTCCATATGTCTAATCCGTGCCCTCTTCTATCCAATCTCCCCATACTCGACAGCACAAAATCCTGCCACCTGGCCGAATAACCCTTCTCCACATCCTTCCCTCTTCTTTCAATAATATTGGCAGAATGAAGAATTCGTTCCCAAAAAAGATTATTCAAATAGCATTTTTAGAACAGTTTGGCCTGCAGAATCATTATCACAAATATGAAGACAAGAATTCTTCAATTTTGGGTAGTAGTCTTTTTTTCTCCTTTAAGTACTATTGTCCTGTAAACACTGTTAACTTTATATTTGTCCTCACTTTCAACTCCTAACGAAATAAGGATCAGTATAATAAAGGAGATAAAATATATCAATGCATGATCTTATGGATTTATGCCTGGATTGTCAGGTTGTTTTGAAAATTGAGTTCTTTAGAAACCTCGAAAATTTGGAGATTGAGGAGTTTGTGGATTTAATGGCTTCTCTTTCCAAGAGGCGAGTTGACTCCATCAAGGATGATTGGCCTAACGACACCTTGCTGAACATGGGGTTCCAGCCAAAGTACTTTTAAAACTATTTGCAGAACCGACAATGTTGAAGCTTTCAGGTTGGAAACAAATATGGAAAAGTGAGGCATCTTCCAAGATTTCTTTTTTTTTTGTCCTGGAAGCTGCATGATGAAGAATCTTAACTGTGGATAACTTGAGAAGAGGAGGTAAACTCATTGCTGGTGGTTGCGTCTTATATGTCTTTCCAAGTATATACGAATCCCAAATCATCATCATCATCATCTTCTATGGTGTTTGGAGGCTAGAAGACCATGACGTTCTGTTTTAGGTCTCCTTTTTTTTGAAATAAAAAGTGTGAGAAGTATTAAGTAAAAGGTACTAAGGAGGTGCCGCCTATTTACAAAAAATTTACATGTCAATAAGTATATTTACAATAACCCCAAGTTATCCATCCTATATAAGTTATGTCCCAAAACTATAGAACCAAAATAATGGAACCACCTATCTTTGATATTGACAATCTGCTCTTCTCTCCCCTCAAATGCTGCATCTCTAAAATTGACCATCCTGCTAACTGCAAATGCAGCAACTCTGTTCTCTGTCTAAATATTTTGGTAGCCATTACATTTTTTTCTAGGTCTATAAGTTCCTCCAGAATATACAAAAGTTCAGGTTGCCTTTGAATTCCATCATTCTTGAACTTTTCCCTTTGAATATTTGTGTTAGTGTTATTGATTTTACAAGTTGCTATATCATATAACAATTACATGGTGCCCTGAAAATTTGGTCACATTTGAACTCATAAGTTAGCATTGATTTTACAGTATTTTCTTTAAAAGAAAGAACTTCTTTCGAAACCACCAAGGGAATTGCCACCCATAGGCAAAAAGGAATATACATGAATGTATTGGTCAAAAACCATATGCTTCCCATAATCTTTCTCCATCAAGGAGAGGATGACTCTTGAAATAAATAAACAAGGTTGGAGTGGAAATATTTTCAATATTCTTAATCAAAATTAAGGATTTTGAAATGAGATTTGTGGAGGAAGACTTACAATATTCTTTGTGGGATCTTGTGGTGGCTAGATTTGAAAGACACTTCTCAGGCTGGAAGGTAGACTACTTATTGAAAGAAGGCAGACTTGCAGTCCTTAAAAGCACAATCTCTTCTTTGCTCGTTTATTATCTCTCTTGTGCCAAAAAAACTTCAGGATATCTATTGCCACTTCTTTTTAGGTGAATCTAATGATCAGAGAATATTTTAGCTTGTTGCTTGGGAAAAAGTTGGGTTTTCTTTGGAAAGGGGTGGTCTTGGGATAAGATTTTTGGCTCTCTTCAATCAACCATTGTTGTGAAAATGAATTTGTAGATTCGTGCAATCTGAAGGCAGATTTTGGTGGAGTTTTATTAGGACTAAATTTGGAACTGAGCACTTGTGGTGGAGAGTCCAGACTCCTAGAGGTTTCGGCGGCATAGATATGGAAGAATGTCAATGCTAGATGGAAGGTCTTTCTTGGGGAAGAGAGTCTGGTTTTGGCATGAAAGTTGGTACGAAAAGGGTGCTCTTAAACACATCTTTCCCACTGTTGCTCTTTCACCCAAAATAAAGGGGTTGTCATTGTGTTTTGGGCAGGGGGTTTCCATTTTGTGTTTCTGAGACAGGTTGTAAGGGATGTGGAAATAAGCAAGAATCTTAGTGATTTGGAAGTAGAGGAATTTGGTAGATTCCTTTACCACCTTCTGAAGTGCAATGTCTCATCCTCATATGATGATGTGCCATTTCAAAATTAACTCCTAGTGGATCAGATCTTTCATAGTGAAATATTTTCTACAAATGCTTCTCTTCTTCGCTTCTTTGCTTCAGTACAACTATTTCACATGGAAGGCTATTTGGAAGTTAAATGCTCCCCCTAGCATTGCCCCTTTTTTCTTGGGAGGTCGCTAGGGGCAGAATTGTCAGGACTGGTAATCTTAGAAAGAGAGGCTGGGTATTGGTCAATAGCCGCTGCTTATGCAGAATGATGCAGAATTTGATAAAGAAGAAGATTTTTTAAGATAAGAAAGAAAGGAGGAAACATATCCTCCAAAAGTTACAGAGGATAGTGAGGCAAAAAATTATTAATAGATAAGATACATAATGGATCTAGTAAATTAAGGACCAAAATAATAATCTCCCAATCCCAATGGAGTTTAGAAATTTGTAGGGCCGAGAGTCTTCTATTGCGCCTTAACCCATAATGATACAGGAAAGTCACCCTGTCCCATGTCTCATGGAAAGGTGTACTTCAGTCATAAGATTTTTTTCGGTTTGCTGCAAGCCATATTGTTCATAAACCAGCAAAGATAGCCCCTCCACATGAAGGTTATGCTTCCTTTCTCACTCCATCACCCTTAAGGTACATCCTAAAAGTTTTTTGACTATTGGAGGAGTGGCTGACATAATGCCAAAGAGAATTAATAATTTACTCCAAGGCTCCCGAGCAACCTTGCATGGAGAAACAAATGGGAGTGTGTCTTTTGTTCTCACAAAGAAAGTCAACAACCATTGATTTTTTAGGTCTAAGTTGGGTGATCATGTGCTTGTAGGTGAATGAGTTTTGGGCTTGGCAAGGTATTCCTGGTGATAACCAAAGAATGAATATAGTTTCTCTAATCCCTTTGCATATGGGTGATTTTGGAGGGAATGACCAATGGGGATTTTAAGGACATCACATCTTTTGATAGGATCTTAGATTTATGGTTCCAAACCTTGAGTATTTTGTTGAATCTTTTAATGAGGACTTACAGGACCTTGTTGACATTTTCTTGTGTAATTTGTACCTTTCTATATATGAATGATAAACCCCGATGCTATAATCTTTTTTATTTTTTATTTTTATTTTTTGAAATAAAGAGAGGTTATGATGTTTTTCATCTGAAATGAAAAAGAAAAGCAGGGAGGAAGACGTTCAGAGAATTATTGATTGCTAATGATGTCATATTTATGAATAAGTTATTTGTGCAACACCATTTTAGTGTCTTCTTGATTAGATCTTTTCTTATAAAAGAAGTTGTGTATGATCAAAATTTAATAATACAGTAGTTTTTGCTCTTGGTGTTTTAATGGGAATATTCATCTTGGTTCCTTCTCAATTTAACTTGAACATTTATCTCAGGAGTAAGGAAGGAACGGGCTGCTGTTGGAGCGATCTTATTCTTGTTGGCTTTCCTGTATGCTTTTTGGCGTATGGGCATTCACTTCCCTATGCCTTCACCCGACAAAGGTTATATTTTACATTTTGTTTAGAACGTGGCTGCAATTTTTCTCTCTTTTCTTTCCACAGTTTAATGCCTTTTTTAGATTGATGCTATTATTACCTTCTCCTCACTCATTTTTCCCTTTAGATTGTCTTTCCTTTCCAAATTCATTCGCATTATCATGCTTAATTTTCATGGCTGAAATTGCACTAATGATCATGCTCATGCAAATAAGTCATTAGTGAAGAATGAAAAATGGTTGGATCATTTGATTTGAAAGAAAACAAGGTAACCATGAAACCATAGAAGCTGGCAAATGGAAAGGTATATAATATGGATAGTGGTGAATTAAAGGTATATCAGCTAAGGGGTATAGGATTTCAAACTAATGAGAGGGATTTGTTTATGCAAGTAAATTGTCAAGGCCAAAATCAGTACCAACGTTCATGACAAATAGCTCGTTGGTGCAGACTCAAAGCTTGGGTAGAGGTCTATTTGGAAGAAAGTTGCCCCCTTGAATATAATTGTCGACAACTAAAAATTTGAGAAAATGGAAAACATTTGTTGTCAATGTTTTTACTAGAGTGGAAAGAGATCATTGTCAATAGTTTTTATGTTTGGTTATAGTTATGTTTGAGAAAAAATATCTAAAATCTTGAATGGTATTCTCTTTTGGGTCCTCAGTCTTTTAGACATCTATGGAGTGTCACTCTCTTCTTTTTTGACATTATATGGATGGTAGCCAAATCAACCAGAAGAATTATGAGCTTGATAGGGTATCCAAGCTTCTAAAGAAGATAGCCATTGGTTTAACTGTTCTCCCTCATTTTCGATTTTGCATTTTTAAAAGTAATTATGAAGTTATGCTAGAAGAAAGTAATTTATTACGTGTATTTCGTGTCCAAGTTTACATTGGAAGAATAGAATTTTTTATTAAAATCTAATATAGATTTTAGATTGACATCAAAACTATAGGACTTTTTAGTAGCTCCCAGGCTCCATTCTTAAGAATAATCTGAATTCAGAATGCCTTATTGCTTTATCTGACTGTTGCTTTTGAATCTTCATTGCAGTATGTTCATGTTTGCACCAGATACCTTAGTAGAAAAGAAGAAATAGTATTATTCACGCAGCCAATGTTCCTTGTTTTCTTCTTTTTCCATTGTAACTTCGGATGAGTTCTTCATAATATTTCTCTGACATTTCTCTCTCTCTCCTTGTTGGGGGAAGGGGGGTTGTTTGACTTCTAAATGCTATTTTCTTTTTCAGGTTTCTTTACCATGCCTCAGTTGGTCAGCAGAATTGGTGTCATTGGTGTGACTGTCATGGCTGTCCTATCTGGTTTTGGAGCTGTAAATCTTCCATACAGTTATCTATCACTGTTCATAAGGTAATTGAGTAATATTTTCTTCATTACTTTCTTGACAGTGGTTCTCAATCAAACTTTTTCTCTGTAGTTTTCTACAGTCCCTTGCACTCCAATAAATAAAGGTTTCTTTTTGATCATATGTTTTATTTGTGTTCTTCCATTACAGATTTATTAATGCCTTTTTCTTTTCCTTTCAAATCTTCTTTGATAAATGCAATTATGAAATGATGGCATGTATTCATAAGTAAAACCATGAATGGTGGACTGAGTTACTGTGAAATGATGCTCTGCTAAGCTGGTTTATTAAATGTGCTGCCTTCCAAGCTTTTGACTTGTTTAAATTGCATTATTCTGATCTGTATCTGCTAATAGGAATCAGTACCTCACAATTGGATTCATTTGCTTCTCATGATAAAATTCTAATTCTCTTGATTTGTAAATAGTTTTTTACATGCGTTTGCACCCCCTTGGTGCTTATAGTTAATTGTCATTTATATTTTTTATTTCAAAAAAATTATACAATTTCAATTCTCATTTTGATTATGTTATCTATAATTTTTGTTTTTGGTGATAGAAAAAGAAGTATTATTAGGAATTAGAAGAGATAAATACAATGGCAAAGAATAAAATATCCTCCTAGAGGCTTCACAAAGAAGAACTGCAAAAAACACTTAGTTACAAATTCTGGTCGCAAGCGTACCCCCAAAAATCAGAATATTATATGCTAATTGTAGGAAGAATTTAGACACTAAAATTTTGAGCAAGAACTGAAATGTCCAAACAAATATCTGCTAATTGGAGTAAGAACATATTTTACCTAATATGATATCAGTTTTCAGACCATGCTTGATTTTTGTTTTGTTTTTGTTTTCTGTTTTTCCTACATAAATATTTTAGGGAGATTGAGGAATCAGGGATCAAGGCATTGGAGAGACAACTTATGCAATCGATTGAGACTTGTGTTGTAAAGAAAAAGAAGATTATTCTTTGTCAAATGGAGATGGAACGGATTCAAGGATCAGAAGAGGTTTACTTCTCTTCTATATTTATCATTAATTTCCGTGTGATTCAGATGTTCTTCTAAGAGTCAAGTCTTTGCTTGTTTTGTTTTTGTTTCAACATCCGAACATGGTCTTTTTGGAGACTTGCCTATTACTTAATAGGAGTATGATTTATTGCTAACCAGATGCTGTCTAATATTTCAGACCCTTCTGAAAATTGAGACAGCTAAAGAGTTTGACAAAATTGTGCGAAACAGAGAGAGATGTAGGGTTGAAAATAGTCTGGCCCCGAAATGGAAAGCTCAAATTTGTTTATAAGAAAAAACTCAAGCTTAGACCTGTTCAAATTGAAATGATTTTGAGATAATAAGAGAACCTGTCCTCTCTCTCTCTAAAATCCTCTCTACTCTCTCAACTTTCCAACTAAACCAACTACATCGTCTTCTGAAATTCAATCCCCCTATCCTTTCAACCAAATCACCACGTCCTAGAGGAACTCTAAACATTACAGCCAACAGGAATCCTCCCTAAATGCTCCCGGTTAATGCTAAACGGTTCGTCCACATTGAGAGGAAATCATATGATATTGTTTGTGATGGAAAGAAATTGGATGGTTTATGTATCTATGAGAACTGTAGGGGAAATAGAGTGTCTATTTCCCTGAACGAGAAAGAAGTCCCATGGATTGTCGATTGTCTAAGCGACTTTTACTGGAATAAGGGTGACGAAGCTTGGGATAGAAATATTGAAGGTCAAAATCGCCATCTCTTCATTGCTATGGTTTGGAACAAGAGGGGTCGGAACTTAGTGCTTTCGGAAGAAAGAGACCGGTCTACTAAAAGAATATTTTTCCTCGACAGTTTTGAAGCGGGTGGCTGGTGGAGAATCATGAAAGCCATTTTCGAGTTTGCTGAGGTACCCATTGTAAACTCATTTAAAACTTCTATGTCGTCAAAGCACTTCTTGTCTTCCCCAATCGAATCTCAATGTGACCTTGCAATGGTCCCTACTGTTAAGATTCCCGCACCCTCCAATTGCAAAAACCCATTGAATGGTGACACACAACATGGCGACAATCATTGCCAAATGATTCTAAGTTGTCCCAACTGCAAACATGGATTCTGAGTGACGTCCGAAGATGTTGGTTGTAAATCGTTTGCTCAAGTGGTGTCCTCAAGCTGTGTCCCATCCAAATGGGTAGAGATGATGGTACTCGACCCGACAAAGAAAAATTTGAATTTCAGAAATCAAAAGCTTGCTCAATTTGTCATTTCTCAGAAGCCAGTTGGCCTGACTGATTTAAGAGGTAATCGTACTAAAGATAAAAGGAGGAGCTTTCCTGATCGGGCCACTCAAACAACCCAACCTTCTAGGCCCAAATATACTTGGGAAGAGAAAGAAAAATGGGTGGAACACATTGGGACTAGTAAGGAGGCGAAAAAGTTAATGATGCCAAAATTCAAAAGCCCCAAAGTTCTTTGAATGTGGAGGCCAAAAAAGAAGAGTCCGACCCGCCTGGATTTACCTGACCCGGCCAACCATATAAAGAACAGTTCAATCGATGGCCCTGGCAAAGTCAAAACATCTATCATTATCCAAAGAAGCCCTAGCAAAGATATGCTGTCAGACACAACTATTGTGTGCAGTGAATCAAGGTCTGTTGATCCTATCCCTCCACCGGGTTCGACTTTTATGTAGATTTACTTGAAGGAAGCTTTGCTCCATCAAGGCTGGACCTAAGCACAAACAAAGACGAAGCCTTTGCTCTGCTTGTGCCGAATCAAAGCACATGCAGTGATCTAGTCTTATTTCAGAACGACTTGGAGGATGTTCCTGTTGCTTACTCGTGCCAGCCATTTGTTCTTGCCTCAGATGGTAAACAATACTCTGATCGGGTCTTGTAAAATATCAGTTGCATTAGCAAAATGCTCGGCTTGACCTATGACGACGGCGGAGTTCAAACCATGGCAATGTTTGCGGAGTTGGAAGATAGAAGGACAACCCTGAAGACTAGCCCTAATAAATCTTCTCGGTCGATACATAAGCAAACAGATGGGGGAAGCAGAGAATTAAAACACTTGGAATGTTATGTAAATTATGAATGGAAGCCGAAAAAAAGCAACATTGGAGAGGGGTTCTCATCTTCAACAGATTTATGATTCCAAAAATCATCTCCTGGAACATTAAGGGTCTAAATGACTAAAAAAAAAAAGAAGCATCTTGAAGGGTTGTCTTCAAAGATGGAAGCCACCCATTATTTGCTTTCAAGAAATAAAAATGGAGTCGATCACTACCATGGTTATTAGAAGCCTTTGGAATGCAGACAATGTGGGGTGGCTTTGCCTTCCTTCCAATGGCCCTGCTGGGGGCATCCTGATGATGTGGAAAAAGGACATCGTTGAACTCAGAGACGATCTTACCGGTGAGACAACACTCTCTTGTCTATTTATTAATATTACTTCCGGGAAAGTTTGGTTCTTCTCTGGTGTCTATTGCAGGAGTAATGAAATAGGGTGCATGCTCCTATGGAATGAACTTGCTTCTTGCTTAAACAAATAGGGCAACAAAGGAGTCATTGATGGTGACTTCAATATGGTTCTTAGGCGTAGTGAAAGATCGGGAGAGCACCTCTCCGCTTCATGTGCTAATGAATCCCAAGAGGACATTGAAAGCCTGGAACTAGCCGACCTCCCTCTGAACGGTGGTCCTTGGACGTGGAGCAACCAGAGGGAGAACCCTTCTTTCTCTAGAATTGACCGTTTTCTCATATCAGCAGAGCTTCTCCCCTGCATTCCTACTCTTTGTCGAAAGGTTTTCTCTAGGCCCTTATCTGATCATTTTTCTATCTGTCTTGATCCTGAAGGCATCCAGTGGGGCCCTATCCCTTTCAGACTTGATAACCGTTGGCTCAAAACTGACGGTTTTCGAGCTCGTTGAAAAAGTTTGGTCCAGTTCTGGGAGTCGGGGTACTGCTAGTTTCAAGCTTGCTAGAAAACTCAAGTGTCTCAAAGAGGAAATCAAGAAATGGGCTATTACTGCTGGCAGGTTTGAGGAGCTTAAAATCACGAGTATTATGATAGACATTGATATCTTTGACAAGGTTGGGTCACTAGGCTCTCAACTGAAGATAGGGAGAAAAGGAAGCAATTAAAGATCACTTTGGCCAAGAAACTAAATATGGAAGCCATTTCCTGGAAACAAAAATGTAGAGAGAAGTGGCTCAAAGATGGGGACAAAAACACTAAATATTTCCACTACTTGGCCAATCACCATAGAAGAAGCAATTATGTGGATGAGATCCTGGTGGATGATTGCAGGTTTGATGGGAATGCTGCCATGAGAGAAGCAGCTAAATCTTATTTTCAGAACTTATACTCTGAGGATTTTCATCTAAGACCTAGGCTGGATTTACTGCAATTTTCCAAAATTGATAACTCCTATAATTCTCAACTGGAGGCAGAATTCAGTGAGGAAGAAATTTTGAATGGCCTCCCCACCTACGATGGTGACAAGGCCCCTGGTCTCGACAGCTTCAATCTCAAATTCTTACAAGAATACTGGAACGTGGTGAAACAGGACATTCTAGATTTTTTCAATGACTTCCACATAAACTCCTCTTTCGTGAAGTCTCTCAACTCCACCTTTCTGGTCTTAATCCCCAAGAAAAAGAATGCCAAGCAGATTAATGAATCTAGGCCAATCAGCCTCATTGGAAGTATCTACAATATTCTTTCCAAAGTGGTGGCTACCCGGTTATCAAAAGTTCTTAATTTAGTTATTGGAGAGAATCAACAAGCCTTTGTTCATGGTATACAGATCACCAATGCCGTTCTAATGGCTAATGAAATTGTGGACGATGTTTTTAGGAAGAAAAGTCAAGGCATCCTCTGTAAGCGTTAATGGAAAAAGCATTTGACTGTGTGTCATGGAATTTCATGGACTACATGCTTGACAGATTGGGTTTTGAGCAAAAATGGAGAGGTTAGATTCGTACTTGCATATCCTCAACGAGGTTTGTTGTTTTAATCAACAAAGGCCCTTTTGCTTTCTTTAATGCCTCTAGGAGTTTGAGACAAGGTGACCCCCTCTCTCCTCTCCTCTTTATTATCGCCATGGAAGCTCTCAATAAACTGGTTGAAAGAGTTAGAGATCTGTAGTTGTTGAAAGGAATAAGTGTGGGTAACAACAGCAAAAACATTGAAATTTCTCATCTCTTCTTTGCCAATGACACTCTTTTCTTCTGCCAACCAGACATCAACTCAATTTTAAATCTGAGATGTATACTTCTTTGTTTCCAAGCTGTCTCGGGTTTAAGGATCAACTATGACAAATCTGAACTTGTTGAGTTTGGCCATGACTGCCCTGAAACTTCTTTTGCCACGGTGTTGGGTTGCAGAGCTAGTAAGTTACCCATTAAATACTTGGGCATTCCTCTTGGGTGCAAGCACAAAGACAGCAGCTGTTGGGAACCAATTATTGATATTTTCCACAAGAAGTTGACAAATTGGAAATGAAAATTTCTTTCAAAAGGTGGTAGGCTAACTCTCATTCAAAGTACTCTTTTTAATCTTCCCATCTACTACCTTTCAGTGCTTAAAATTCCGGTAAATGTGGCAAATAAACTGGAAGCTATCCAAAGGCGTTTTCTTTGGGTAATACTGATAGCAGGCACAAATTCCATCTGGTTAATTGGAAGGAAGTCAAACAACCCAAAAAGTTGGGTGGTCTAGGCCTGAGATCTCTTCTTGCTTTCAATAAAGCTTTTCACAGTAAATAGATCTGGAAATTCTGGAATGACAAAAACAGCATCTGGAAAAACATCATCGAATGTAAGTGGTTCAGCAATGGCCTACATGATTTGACAAAGCTTAATAACAGCCCTTATGGAAGGAGTTTATGGAAAACTTTTATGCAACTCAGTCACATTGTTGGGAAATGTTCTAATTGGGGCAATAAAGCCCGTTTTTGGCAAGATGTGTGGTTTGAAGATACCAACTTTCAAACCTGTTTTCCCTGTATTTTTTGCTATTGCAAGAGACAAATTCATGCTGGTTGAAAATGGCTTCGAAGGAAATTCCTCATTCACTGGGACCGTGGTTGTTAATCGAAATCTACAAGACTGAGAATTAGAGGAATACATGGAATTAAATACCATTAATTTGAGCAATAGAGATGATAGACTCAACTGGAAGTTAAGCAAAAATGGAATCTTTTCTGTTACCTCTATGTTTAAGAACCTGGAGAATTTTTATGCTGAAAATAACATTTTGTTCCCCTATAAGATGATCTGGAAGACACACGCACCACCCAGAATTTCCTTCCTTGCTTGGGAAGCAACAAAAGAACACATATTGACTTTGGACAACCTCTTGAAGAGGGGTTTTCACTTGGCCAATAGATGCTCATTGTGCAAAACTAACCCTGACACTTGCAGCCACCTATTACTATGGTGCCCCATCACCTATAGTTTTTGGAATGATATCTACAGCCTTATGGGTAATGGCTGGTTCTATAAAAGCTGAACTCCTTGCTTGGGAGGGCATTGTTACTAAAAATAGATATTACCGATCAATACTGCTGACAATCTTCTGAGTTATATGGAAAGAAAGAAACAACAGAACATTTAAGAGTATTGAAGCAAATTTTGTCAACATCAAGGATAAATGATTATACCTTTTTGGTTCCATCTTTTTAGAGCACAACCTTGATTGTTATGATGATTTCGGTGCCACTGTAGATATCCTTACTAATTTGTAATTATCTTTTTGTAGTTGCGCAGTGCTCCCTTAGTGCCGACATTAATACACTTCACACTTTTCTTTTTTAAAAAATGATATTGAGATAATTTTGAACTCTTAAACTAGTAGTCTCCTTGGTGGAGTAGCATGTCGCATTGCATACCACCATAGTAGTTTAGCCTCTTTTGTACATACATTTCAGCACACACATGAGGAAACAACTTTAGATGGGAGTTGAAGACATGTTGATTTCCTTGACAAAAAAGAGGAAAATGTTTCATTGTCTGTAACTGATTTGAATAGAAGGATCTTCTTGAAAACTGATTTGGCACAAAAACTACATTTAGAAGCAATTTCTTGGAAACAGAAATTAAGAGAGAAATGACTTAGAGACGGGGACAAGAATTCTAAATATTTTCACATGTTAGCTAACCACAGAAGAAGAGTAAATTTTGTTGACGAACTTGTTGTGAATGACAGATGCGTCAAAGATAATGAAGCTTTGAGAGAATGGGCAAAAGAACACTTTCAGAAATTATTTTGTGAAGAATATAACTACAGATCCAATCTTGACAATCTCCCATTCAACAATTTAAGTGATAGTGAAAGAGATGAGCTTGAAGAAAAATTCACTAAAGAGGAAATCTTGGGTTGCCTAAGGAATGTGATGGGGACAAAGCCCCAGGTCTGGATGGTTTCAACATCAAGTTCCTTCAATCTTTTTGGGATATCATAAAGGTGATATATTAGAGCTATTCAATGATTTTCACAACCTCAACACCTTTGTAAAATTACTTAATTCCACTTTTCTTGTCATGATCCCCAAAAGAGTTCAACCAAAGAATTATAATGATTTTCGTCCTATAAGTCTCATTGGGTGTATTTACAAATTGTTATCCAAAGTTCTACCAAAACGATTGTCAAAGGTATTAAAGACATCATTGGAAACTGTCAACACGCATTCGTTCCTAGGAGACAGATTGCTGATGCCATTTTAATTGCTAATAAAACAGTTGATGAAGGTTTTAGACACAACAAGAAAGGAATTCTGTGTGAAACTTGATATGGAAAAGGCGTTTGATCATGTTAACTGGAATTTCCTGGATTATATGCTTTTGAGACTTGGTTTTGGACTCAAATGGAAAAGCTGGATAAAAACATGTGTTTCCTTTACTAGTTTTGCTGTTATTGTCAACGGCAGACCCTCTACTTTTTTCAATGCCTTTAGAGGCCTACGACAAGGGGATCCCCTTTCTCCACTCTTATTCATTATTGTGATGGAGACACTGAATCAACTAATTGAGAAAGCAAAATTACTGAATTTGATTAAAGGGATTACTGTGGGTAACAAAGATTATAAAACAGAAATTTTCCATTTTTCTTCGTTGATGATACATTGATTTTTTGTCAACCGGATTTCAACTCCCTCATCTTCCCAAAATGTATTCTACTATACTTTCAAGGCTGTCTTCGGTTTGAATATAAGTTTTCAAAAATTTGAGATGGTTTTGTTGGGAAATATCTTCAGAAATGAAGAATTCAGTGTGGTTTTGAGTTGCAAGCAGACACAGTTACTTATCACTTATCTTGGGTTTCCTCTTGGCACCAAGCACAATGACAGTAGTTGCTAGGAACCTGTGATCGATTAGTTCAATAACAGATTATCTACCTGGAAGAAAAAATTTCTATCAAAATGAGGTAGATTGACCTTAATTAAAAACATACTCTCCAATCTCCCGATTTAATTTTTATCGGTGCTTAACATATCAAATAAGGTAGCAAAGAAATTAGAGCAGATCCAATGTAACTTTCTTTGGGTTGATGGTGAAAATTGTAAGAAATACCATTTAATGCATTGGTTGAAGATAAAAAACCCTTAAAAGAATGGGGTTTGGGAATAAGATCAATAGTCAAACTAAACAAGACACGTTTTGGTAAATGTATTTAGAGATATTAGAATGAAAATGACAGATTCTGAATTATGGTGATAGACTCAAAATGGTATAACGGCAATCCACAAAATCTCTCTTATATTAAAAAAAATTATGGTTACAGTTTATGGAGAAACATCATCACACTAAATAATGCGATCTTTCAATGCTCAAAATGGACTATTGGTAATAGGTTCAAGGTCTGTTTTTAGAAAGATTTTTGGTGTGGCTCAGAAAAATTAAAAGACAAATATCCCCTTATTGCTGGTTCAGTCATTCCTGCCTCCTGGAGTGTTCCAGTGATGAGACTCAGATTGGGAACTAGAAAATATCAATCTATTTCACTTATGGCAAACACACAGCTGCAAAATCAAAACGATAAATTGCACTGAAAATTAAAAGGAATGACCTCTTCAATGTCAGCTCTCTCTACTCTTTTTTGGCCGGTTATAACTCTAATGAAAAATATCATTTCCCCTCAAAAATCCTTTGGAAATCGGATGCTCCCCCAAGAATTGCTTGTTTTGTTTGGGAAGCTGTAAAAGGTAAAATTCTCACAATAGACAATTTGATGAAAAGAGGGCATACTACTGTCAATAGGTGTTTCTTATGTAAGAGATCTCTTGAATCATGTAATCATTTACTCTTGAAATATTAAGCATCTCACAAACTTTACAGTATGATACTCGGGCTTCTGGGGATCTTTTGGATAATGGCAGATTTTGTTTGTTTCGAACTTCTGGCATGAGAAAGTTTGAGTAGTGACAAAGCGTTTAGATTAATCTTTTTTTATCATTTGCTGGGTTATTCGGAAGAAGAGGAACAATAGGGCTTTTGAAGGGATTGAACAAGATTTTAATAGCATTAAAGATAAATGGTTTCATTATTTTGGTTCTACTGTTTTAGGGCATAATTTATAATGTTTTGAAGATTTTGGTTATATTGTAAATATGTTAATTGACATGTAAATTTTTCGTAAATGGGTGGTGCTCCCTTAGCACCTCATATTAATACATCTTCTTTTATTTAAAAAAATGTTTGGTTTTTGTGGTTAGCAGTTTCTGTTATAGCTCATTGAGGTTGTGTGTTTCAGAAATTGAAGACTAGATCTTTCTTCAAACGGATTGTTAGTACTGTTGTGCGTTCTGTGCAAGATGACCAAAAGGAGCAAGGTGAGTGATATATTGCCTGCTTCTATGCTAGCATATCCTTTGTTACTTCTTATAACTGCTCTGTTTGTTATTTTCCGAATAGTTTTCTTTTCTTTTTTATTTTTTATAAAAGAGGAATTGTGGTAACTTTGCATGTTTTTGTTTTAATATTATGGGCAATGTTGGGAATTTAAATGTCTTGTAAAAGTTTGTTAAAGATTAATAATACATTTTCAATTGGTCTCTTCTTATATAGTCAATAGCAGTTAAGTTCTATTCTAGTTTTTCCATTCTTATTTGTAGTTATTGCTATAAATACCATGTATTGTTCCCTGATCCTAATAACAAGAGTAATACCATAATTTAAGTTTATTCTTCTATCATGGTATTAGAACATTAGGTGCTAGGACTTGATAACTTCCATGTTTTGTGCTCACCATGATGCAGAATGCATTAGCTCTTGATTGCCTAAATAGATAACTGTATTAAATGTTAACTACTGCACTATTCAGGAGCCGGTTATTATAATTTTAGTAATTTTATATTTCAAAAAAAATAATTTTAGTAATTTTAGGTTTTTATTCTTATGAGCTAATATTGTTAGTTTTAGTATATTTTAATTTAATCCTATTTTGTAAAGGTTACTTAGGGAATATTATAAATACTTTTGTAATTCCACTTCTTGAGAGATTCAATTATAAAAAAAAAATACAACCAAATGTTATGTTTAAGACTTCTTAGACATAGTGTCTACTTTAGTTGTGATGTTTAGGTTTTTATCCCTAAATCCCTAAGTGGACAAATCAACCCTATTTGTCCTACATTATACCACAACTCTTCCAACTTTGCAAATTATCTAGAATGAAGTGCAAAAAAAGCTTATTCTCTTCCTTAAAGACAAAGAAATAGCTTGTTTTGCTTTTTTACTCTTTGTTCTTTTTTGTTTCTTTAGCCAAGCCATTCGATCCGTCTCGACTATTAACATAAAAGAAGAAATCCTAATATTTTCCGTTTCCAAGTTCTGTTGGTTTCTTCTTTAGGCACGATCATAGACAGTTTCCTTTTTCTCCTGTAAGTTCATTTCCTAGAAAAGGAAATTTTGTTGCAAGCCCTAAGTGGGAGAAAATGGGGTGTGCATTTGTCTATTGCCTACTTTGGCATGTCAACCTCAGGTTCAGGTTCACTAGCATTGTGCAATCTGCCTACCAAAGATCTGGTCGCCAAAAGTTGTTTCACATGCTGCTGCTCTCTGGTATGTGAGTCCCATGTGTCAATAAATTTTGTTTTGGGTGATAGGTTGCTAGTCTACTTTGATTTCCCTGTGGGTATCTGTACTTTGTGGTATTTTTATACATAATCATCATTCACTCAAGAAGAATTTAAGATCTCTTTGGTGAAGCTAAACAACTACAATTGATGCTTGATGTTATTGATCTGGTCGTTGAGATATATAAAATAAAGTAGATAGAGTAATCAGCAAGGAACTATCTTTGGCTGGTTCTTTTGGTTTCTTTGAAGTGCAAATTTGAGAGCTTGAGGGTGAGTCACTGTTCTAGTTTAGGGTGATTTTTATGTTTGGTTCCAGAGTTAAATTGGTACTTTTTTAGGGTTTGGTTTGCTAGCTCTTTTTTTCTTTTTTTTTTTTTTTAAATTTATGTGTAAATAGCACTAATTAGGTTAAAGAGTATTAAAGTAAAATACTCCGTTTGTAATTAGTTGTAGCTTTCTATCTTTTATTCAATAAGAGGTATAGCACAATTATTCCTGAGAGTCAGTAACAGTGTTTCTTCTCTCTTGTGGGACATCCATTTGCTGTGGAATCGTAATGATTGAAAGATTGATGGCATAGTTTTCTCATGCTCTCTTTTTTGAGATAAAATTTCTCATGCTCTCTTAGATTCTGCTTTTTTAACCATGATGCATATGACTGCCCTATGTGACCATATATAAAGAATTTGGTGTTCTCTGCACTTACAGGAGAGCGAATCCCCTTAACTCATCTGCAAACAATCTCCTTCTTTGTTTAGAGGCTAGAAGGCTAGGGGGCGAATCCCTTTCCTTCCTAAACTTGTCTCTGGCAGCAAGTTATTTGGTTGCGGATAAATTATGCTTTTATTTCAAAAATAAATAAATTATAGGCATGGAATGGTATTTGGGTCTGAAAGTCCAGATAAAAACTTATCTCCCACGTTCTATTAGCTGTAATTTTGGTTATCTGGAAAGAAAGGAGCAATGAGTTTTGATTGCATTATGTCTCTTTTCGCTAGCATTGGAGATTGATGGTTCTAGACCTCGAGTATTTTGTTTATTGATTATCCTTTTAACTACAGAGAGGTTTAAGAATCCATTTAATAATGGTTAGAGTTGTTAGAAATAATTAGTTATGTTATTTAGGTTACTGAAAATTAGCTAGAGATTAGTTTTAATTAGTTTGTTTAGGGTATTATTATCAGCTATAAAAGCCAGTGTTTGTAACTGCTTTGCATCAAAGAAAAATAAACAAAAACTGAAATTGTCAATTTCTCTGCATGTTGTGCAATTTCTATTCTTCTTCTTCTTCAATTTTTCTTTTTTTTACTTCTTCAGAAGTGATGGTTCCTGACCAGAGGATCCAGGGAACTTGTAGAAATTTTCTATTCTTTTTGCAATTCGTAAGCTTTTCTTTTTTTTTTTGGGTAGCAACTTTTTGGCACCTTGTTGATATGATTACTTTTCATTTTGCTGTCAAAGAAAAAGCTTCCTGGCCATTTAGAATGAAGTAAAAATGTTCAATCTTTATTCTAACAACCACCTTTCTAACTTCCCATCCATCTACAATGAAGTGAAAAGAAAAGCTTATGTCCCTAGTTTCTTTTTTTTCACTAATTCTTTTCTATTTTTTAGTCAACCCATTCTATCTGATTTATCTGATATCTGTAGCGTTGTTCTTTAATCCCGAATCATCAACACATTTCTTTTTCTTTACATTCCTTTCCTAAAAACAAAAATATTGTTCTCCAAAATGCTAGGAGATAGAAAATCAGGTCTAGCTTGTTCTTGGAAGATCATAGTATATTAGTCCTCTAGAAGCTTCCAGACTGTCTTTTTCCTGAAGCAGATATTGTATTTTGGGTGTAAGGGAGGTGTTTCTTCATGGAAAAACATTTGACCTCAGTGGCACAGACCAAATGAGAGATAGATCCATGAATATTAGGAAGAATATAAAAATATCAGTCCAC